GGACTCCAGGATCATGACCTGAGCCGAAGGCAGTCGCTTATCCAACTGAGCCACCCAGGCGCCCTCTATGCTGATTTAATATCAGAATTGAGAAGAGTTAATGTTGGAGACCCAGTGGCTCTTCAACATCAAAACTTGAAAACCTCTTGTAAGCAGGCATTCTGGCAGGTCTTTGGGAGTCCAGGGTATTTTTATTAGGAGAATGATAGTTTTAAAAGTAAGTTATTGGGTATTTTTTTCCTTGGGATATGGATTCAAAAAACTAAGCTAGTAGCTCAAGATTATAGGGCTCAGGGATAGATGAGGTGTTGGAGGTGGGAGAGAAGGAGTCCAGACAGGATATAGCAAAATTAAGGGATGTGGTTGACTAAGGGTAAATGAAATTGAGGCCCAGTAAAACTTTCCTACTTTTAATGGAATTTTTAGAAACAGAAACCTGCAGTTGGAAACTTGGCTATTTTTATATCATGTATGTTTTCTGTAATTATTTGTTTTCTGTTTTCCCTCATGTTTAGTAAAGCTGTTCTTGAAAATACCAGCCTGTCTTAGTTACACCAAGGAAAAACATTTTTGTCCACATTGAAAAATTTAAAAGGGAACCACACAGCTTTAGATGAGATGTGACCAGGTGATGTAGTGACATAGAGAATCTGGAAAACAGAAACCCAAAGTGAAGATGAAAGTTAAGCACAGAGTCAGGGGGAGTTGTCCTTTCCTTCCAACCTAGAAACACTCTTGATTTCAAGAGTCTGATTTGGTTCAGTTCTGATCTGTTTAAACTTTGGAGGGTTTTGTGCTGAGTCCTAATTAGACAAGGCTAATTCTTTACAAAGTCACACGCATGAAATATTAAGCTATAGAAGCATTATCTAGTTGCACAAAAAGCCTTAGATGGAATGAGATGAGGAGAACTTGAGAGGTACTCTATGATTTGACATGTATGCAAAGAGTATGTAAGAAGTTCTGGGCATATAGCAGAGTGCTCTGAGTTTGGGCCTCAGTATTTCTTTTTTTTTTTTTTTTTAAAGATTTTATTTATTTATTTGAGAGAGAGAATGAGAGAGAGAGAGAGAGCACAACAGTGGGGAGCGGGAGAGGGAGAAGCAGATTCCCCGCCAAGCAGGGAGCCGGATGCGGGACTCGATCCTGGGACTCCAGGATCATGACCTGAGCCGAAGGCAGTCGCTTAACGACTGAGCCACCCAGGTGCCCCCGGGCCTCACTATTTCTTAATCCATGATTGTACTAAAATTGAGAGCTGGATTTTGTCTTTGGGGCAGGCTCTTGGAGAGACCAATGGGGGAGCATTTTTGGTCATAAGAATGAGTGAAACTTAGGGGAATAACCCAGATATAAAGGCCTAAGATTGGAGGATTTGGGTACAGTATTTAGTAAGATAAAGGGCTGGCCCTGTAGCAGATAGATTGCAATCCTGAAGGGATACTTAATGTTATTTGTGGTTGTTCTTTATTAGGTAGGATGTGGTCTTAGGGAGCATATTAGTCAGGGTTCTCCAGAGAAACAGAACCAACAGTGTACCTGTGTGTGGGGGGTGGGAGGTAGGGACATGCACATTCTACAGAGCCAGTGTCCCAGTTGAGTCTTATGCTGGAAGCTGCTGTAGAACTAGGAAGAGCTGATGTCCCAGTTTGCAGGTTGTCAAGTAGGAAAATTCTTTCTTATTCAGGGAAGGGTTAGCCTTGCATTCAAGTCAGGCCTTCAACTGATTGAGCAAGGCCCACTCACATTATGGTCAGCAATACACTTTACTTAGCATACTGATTTAAATGTTTGTCTCATCCAAAAACACCCTCACAGAAATACTCAGAATGTTTAACCAAATATCCAAGTACCCTGTGGCCCAGTCAACCTGACACATAAAATTAACCATCACAGGGAGAGAGGCATGTATACCATCAGATTTCCATCCAGGATGGTGAGCTGGCCCTGGAAATATGATAGTTTGGACAGAAGGATAGAGAGAATCAGACTCTATGCCAGACATAGCCAATAGATTCTCTGACAATGACACTTGAGATTTAGCTTAAGTTTGTTTGTTTGTTTGTTTGTTTCTGTTTTGTATTTCCTATGTGTTATCTTTAAGCATTAGTGTTATGGGTTGAGTTGTGTCCTAAAACAGATGTGTTGGAGTCCTAACATCTGGTACCTCAGAATGTCACCTTATTTGGAGATAGAATCATTATAGAGATAATCAAGTTAAAATGAGATTGTTAGGCTGGTCCCAAATCTAACATGATTGGTGTCCTTATAAAGGGGGCAATTTGGACACAGAGACATGCATAAAGGGAAGACAATGTTAAGAGACACAGGAAGAACACAACCATCTACAAGTCAAGGAGAAAGGCCTAGAACAGATCCTTCCCTCACAGCTCTCAGAAGGAACAACTCTGCCAACATCTTGATTTCAGATTTCTAGCTTCCAGACTTTGAGACAACAAACTTTTGCTGTTTTTGTTTTATTTTGTTTTGTTTTTTGTTTTTTTAGATTTTATTTATTTATTTGAGAGAGAGAGAATGAGAGACAGAGAGCACGAGAGGGAAGAGGGTCAGAGGGAGAAGCAGACTCCCCGCTGAGCAGGGAGCTTGATGCGGGACTCGATCCCGGGACTCCAGGATCATGACCTGAGCCGAAGGCAGTCGCTTAACCAACTGAGCCACCCAGGCGCCCCACAAACTTTTGCTGTTTAAGCCACTCAATTTGTGGTCCTTTGCTATGGCAGACCCAGGAAACCAACAGGCTTAGTAAAATCTACTACACATAATACCTTGTGTTAACAACGCTTGGAAGGATGAAAACAGGAGCTGATGCACATACAGAGATTAAAGCTCCAGGGGTAGGGGGCAGGTGGAGAGGTGGGAGGGGAGGTAACAAGGGGAGGAGAGGTGATGAGATGGCGCAAACAGGGAAGAAGTCTGGAGCAGTGAACTGTGAGCAGAGTCTCCAATGAGGTGTTGAGGATGATAGTACTTTGCATACAAAATAATATTATAAATAAAGGTAGATATCATTTAACTGTTGACAATATCATCACCAGAAAAATTTACTGGCTCCCCACTGAAAAAACTATTAATATGACTAGTTCATAGTGATCATTCCTGTGTTTGATCAGCTGAGAAGCATTTAATGGAGTTTATATTAACTTTAAAATGTTAAAAATTAAAAGGTTTAACATTGATGATGTTGAAAAGCAAAGGGCATATATTAACTTTGACAATGTTAAAAATTAAAGAAATTAAAGGGATAGTTTTTGGTGACATCTACATCAAACATGGAGGCACAAACATCTTGAGAGAGGACATATGGGAGCAGCAGTGACTACAGCATCACGTGTTGCACATACGCCTCCTTGTCTGAATGCTACCACACAAGCATTTGGCACAGTTTCCCGAGGTACCCCTTCCACTGAAATGTTGCCCTGGTATAGACACAGTGCATCATAAGGCCATATGAGTGCAAAAAGGAAGAATGAATGGAAGGAAGGAAGGAAGGAAGGAAGGAAGGAAGGAAGGAAGGAAAGAAGGAAGAAAGGAAGGAGGGAAGGGAGGGAGGAAGGAAGGGAGGAAGGGAAGAAGGGAGGAGGGAGCAATGAGGGGAGAGATACAGGACCTTTTCCTACTCCACAGCCAAGTTCCTATCCATTTGAAACAACCAGATTTGGTTTCAGATAACACTATCTTTGGGATATTTAACAAATGTGATTAAATTATTAGTGTGGGATAAAAATGTTATTTAATAATAATCTGCAAAAATTAATGCTTCTTTAGTGTACTCATTTCATGGTTTACTTCTAAAATCTTTGAAGCAGCATCTAATTTCAGAAAATAGAATGAAGATTCCTTGGAGGTCTAGAAACTAGATAGAAGGGAAAGAAATCCAATGACAGTATCTTGACATCTTTAATACAGAGTAATACTAATATGATAACAACAGCTATTCCTTTATTCTAAGGATTTCCATTTTAAAGGCTTGCTGTTATTAATTTTCCCTGCCTAGCTCCTTTTTAATTATAGTTTTTAGGGCTATATGCATGACTTGAATTCTACTAAACACCAAATGATTTCCCACATATCTTAGTTTGGAATCTGTCTCTTTTAATAGACAGAAATTACTTCCCCCCAAAAAAGTGATACAGTAACAATGTCCAGACAGTCAAAATGAATGTCATTGTCCTTCTTCCTTATTGATGAATAACTACTGATGCTTCTAGTCTCAGGTATAGCTAGGAAAGAAATTGATAATGCATAACTGGGAATAGCTTTCTTTCCTGGAGCATGGAGTTGAAGGGTGGGGGTGTGGACCGAGTGTCCTTTTACCTTAAGGATCTGTTAGCGTATCTGCAAGAAAAGTAGCTGATGTGTTTTCTAAAGAAATGTTTGAAAGATTTTTCCTGGCCTGGGATGGCCTGTATATAGGATATACTGTCTTTATGTCTCTAAATATTTTGCAAAAGAGTCTGATATCCACTCTACTTTGTGAAGTCATTTTTGTAAAGGACGTCCCAAATGAAATGAATGGCTGGGGCAATGACTTTGGGAAGGTCTAAACCAGTTCTGATGTAATGCTTCTTCCAGGAAAATCCCAGGACTTTTGGGGGTGCTTTTTTCTGGTTCCATTTCAAAATATGACAGCCTTGGGTAGACTTAATCCAGGTGGACATGATTATGCAGCCCTGTTCCACATCATTAGTGAGAGTAAATCCCTCTGCCAGAATTCTGCCAACACTGTTTCTAGCCAGACATCCATTAGTAAACATTGCAGTCTTAAAATATTGGTTGGCTTCTGTGGTTTGTCTGCATAATGGAAACTAGGTCCAGATTTTTTAAAGTATCAACACGAATAATCATAGAAATGCTGTTCTCCAAGAGATATAGTTAGAAATTTGAGGCATCCAGAGTAGAATTTTGGTAAAGATCTGTTTAATTTCTTATTTTTTTAAATTTAAAATATTCTTAATTGAAAATAGAAAAATATTTCTGGTTTTGTGATAATGCCAGTTAAGGTAATTCCTTAGCTCTAACTTTGCCTTGCTCAGTATGGCTACTTTACGTTCTATATAGACATCAGCATACTTTGAAACATCTTTCTTCATTGTGAGTAGTTGATATTCCAAAGTAGGTATTTCTAACAAACTGAGAGGATTTAGTTGAAATGCACATTACGAATAATTGTCATATTTTACACATTTTTAAAAATGACAATCCTTTTAGTTAGCATACACTCCACAGTTTTAAAAACTCGCCACCCTCTTTTCTCTCTTTTGATCCTTGATGGCCCTATGAGGTGGAAAGGGAAGGCCATATCTGCCTTTTATAAGTGAGAAAACAAGCTCAAAGAAATAAAGAACTTAGCCAAGATTGTAAGTACATTAGGCTGCTTTCAAGGTCACCTGAAGGTCAGTGGTAGTATTTTCTTAGTATTCCTTGTTGAAGAAGGAAAAACTGCCAGTTAGGTGGGAGGGTTCTAAACTCTGTAACTTGCACGTAAGTCCTTTGATCTCATCTAGCTCTAGGTCCCCCATGTTTGCTAGAACTCAGTTGTGATAGTTTCCTTTATAACATGTCTACAATGAAAGGAGTTTAACCTTAAAAGATTTACCACCGGCAAGTAGTAAGAAGTCATAGTCCTCTCAGAAAGCCAATGTGCTAAGAAGTTTTTGAGGCTATTTCATAAACCTTGACATGGTTACAAAGATAAACTACATTTCCTTCTCAAATGAAGGACAACAAATACATAGGGATGATAAATTGTAGAGATCACCTTGGAAGCATAACATCCTTGGTGGGCATTTGTAAATAAGATATTGAACTTGCTGAGTCTCCTTCCCTGGAAAAACCCTGTGAAAGTCCACATGTTCTTTTTTACAGTCATCACAACACCCCCACTGAGAGCTGCCCAGACAGGAATGATCATCCCATATTACTTACGGAAAAGCCAAAGGTTCAGAGATCAGTGGACTGATCAAGGTCCCAGAGTGAGTCATTAGGAGAGACTAACCTCAGGGCTTATTTCTTCTTGATTTAAATGACTTGCTTGAGTTAATCAGAGGAAAATATTTGGAGAATGAGGACATTTACAGCATAAAATATGCAGGTAATGAGGATTCAGCGTTATTCCTCATTCTGCTTCTAACTAGTTATGAGATTTGGACAACTTACTTAACCAGACTGGGCCTCAGTATCATTCCTGGAGAGATGAAGCAGTTGAACTAGATCAGGAGTTTTCGAACTTCATTCTTTTTAAAGGAAACTCTTAATGCCATAGACATTCATTCAAAATACATTGTAATGTTATAAAATTAATTGATAAAAACTGAGATGCATACAATACTACCTCCTCCTTGGTTTTCCCCACCTCCTACAGGATTCCTTGGATACAGTCTAAAAACCATGGTATTATGTAATCTGAAAGTTACTTTCTGTTTTAAAATTCAATGTTTTTATGATTGGAAGCAACTAGCTTTCTAATCTGCTACCTGCTCCCATCCCCTATGGCATCTTGTGGTATAAAAGAGCTCCAGACTGGAAGTCTGGAGGAGCTGGGTGTGGACCTGTGCTCCACCCACCAATTATCTATGTCATTTTAATCAAGTAGCTTCACCTCTCTAAGTTTCTGTCTCCTCATCTATAAAATAGAAATAGTAGGGGCACCTGAGTGGCGAAGTCGGTTAAGCGTCCGACTCTTGGTTTCCGCTCAGGTTGTGATCTCAGGGTCGTGAGACTGAGCCCACATCAGGCTCTGCGCTCAGCACAGAGTCTGCTTAAGACTCTCTCTCCCTCTCCGTCTGCCCCACCCCCTGTCTCTCTCAAATAAATAATCTTGAAAAATAAAATAGCAATAGTAACCTTTCCCAAGTAAGAGTGCTTTGTAAACTGTAAAAGATTGCATAAATGTATAATGTCGTTAGTATTATCTTCTGTGCACAACACCCTTCCATGGGGAGATGGTTTTATCTTCAGAATGATGCAGAGAGTCAACATGGGTTGAGCTGTTCTTTGGCAAGCTTGCCTATGAGTACGGGTGGTATCTATCATACTTCAGCTTCATCTTCTCTGAGAGCTGAAAGCTAAGTCAGTAGAGAAGGTGTGGGCTATCGACACAGCAGATAATTAAACCAAGGAGGCACCATCATTAAGTTTAAAGGGAAAAATTGTTCCCATAATCTGACCTTGATAACAGGACCTGGCTATATTCCCCCTCTGCACAAAGCTATGACCCATTAATACTTGTTGTCATTCAATGAGTGCTTACTACATGCTAGACACTGAATTTTACATGAGTTATGTCAATCTTATAAGAATCCTCTGCAATGATGTTATCCCTATTTTATTGTGACAGATAACCAATAAAATGGGGTATTATTCCTATTTTGTAACTTAGAAAGGCTAATTAATTTGCTCAGGTTCATATCATGGGCAAGTGGCAGAACCTGAACTCTGAATTCAAAACTTGGAACCACTTGCCTCTCTATCTCCCAGTTGGAAGAAATGATTTTTCTCACTCAGCATGAGGGCCCAAAGTCTCTATTCCTCTTTATCTTTGCAGTGCCTTAGTCAGCTCTATCTCTTCATTTTTATTATTATTATTTATTTATTTATTTATTATTTTTTTAAAGATTTTATTTATTTATTTGACAGAGACACAGTGAAAGAGGGAACACAAGCAGGGGGAGTGGGAGAAGGAGAAGCAGGCTTCCGCTGAGCAGGGAGCCTGACGTGGGGCTCGATCCCAGGACCCTGGGATCATGACCTGAGCTGAAGGCAGACGCTTAACGACTGAGCCACCCAGGCGCCCTATTATTATTATTTTTATTCCTCCGTTCAAAAGTGCTCCATTCATCTTCATAAAACTCAAAGGTGGAAAGCACCTATTAGTCATTGATGTCTCCCCCTCCCCCACCCCATCTCCTGCTTGTCCTCTCTAGTATGTCTTCTGCTCATGAGTTAGGGAATGGAGCCACATCCCTTACCTTGGGGAGTTAGTCCCATAACTAATTCATCTCTGTCAGGAAGATTTTCCTCTTAAGTGCATCCTCTTCAATTTTGCATTCTACCCCATTTTTTCTCTCTGTGGGCTGCACACTTCAGCTCTTCAGATTACACTGCCTAAGTCTGCCCAGGTTCTCAGCAGTGATTTTGCTGAGCTGCCTCTTCCCCTCACACTATGGCCAGAGTATTTTTCTTATTAGTACCTGGAAGATGCTTTCTCCAGTGGACAGAAGCAGAGGTGAGCTACAGGGGTTGCTGGGAAAGAAAGGGAGGAGGAAGAGGAGTGAGCACAAGACTTGAAACCTGCTTAGTCAGCAAACCTTGGACCCAGCTCAGCTTGGACATTTAGGTGCCCCCTCTGCGGGCAGCAGAGGCATTTACTGTCCAGCTATGCATGATTCCATGAGGATGCTGTGCCAGGCTCTAAACTTGTGCCAGGAGTCACAGAAATAAATGGAGTGCATCATCAGAAGAAGACCGTGTGGGGCAGTGGACAGTATGTCAGCTTTGGGATTTGAAAAATCTAGTTTAAGTTATTGCTCTTGTTTTTACATAGCTATAGGGAAACAGTACCTACCTACGCTGTTTCTGTAAAGATTCTAGACAATGACCGGGCATACAGTAGGCATTCAATCAATGAGAACTCTTATTTTTCAAAGCCCTGATTCTAAATAACTTGTTATAACCATGTCCTCATAACTTTGTATCCTATTTGGTGTGTCTAGGCAGCTATCCTTACCTCTTATTCTTCCATTCTTACTGTGCTGCAAATCAGTTTAGAGTAGGCTCATATTCTGGTTTCACCTCAGCATCAGCAACTCCACAAGGTTCACAATTGCCTAGAAAGCAGAACTCAGATATTAGCTATCAGATCCAAATCAACATTAAATTTGCTTTTCAATTTTCACTTTGATGTGAACCTTTCCATTGACTGAAATAGATATAGATATCAATCTATTTGCCGTCTTTGTTACAAGCTTTGCATGTATGTTGACCTTTCTCATTTGTGTCAAGGAACCATTCCATGTGCACGGGTATTGGCAGTAGTATCTTAATATGCAAACGGAACCCGACTTGGGCAAAATATTTCACTAAACACTCTTTTCAAATGAATGCACAAGACCATTCTCAGCCAAAGGAAACAACCTCTTTTGGGCAGCTGAAATCTACTCATTTAACAAATATTTGAGAGTCTCCAATGCACAAAAAGGCCTTGTAGGCACTGGGATACACTGGCTGACATGGCAGACATGCCTCATTGAAACAAATCTCCTCTCTCATGGAGCTTAAATTACAGTGGGAAACACACAATAAACAAGAAAACACATAAATAAAGAAAATTTTAATTTGAGATAATGATGATTGCAATGAAGAAAGCAAAACAAAGTGATATACGGTGATTAGAGAAGCTTTTTTGTTTATTTATACATTTATTTTTACCTTAATTTACAAATCAAACTAATAGATGCACATTGATTAAAAAAAAAAATCAGAACTCTCCCCTAAATCTAATGAATAGGGACAGAAAAGGTGGGAAGGCTTTTCTGAGGAGCTAATAACTGAGCTGAGACCTAAATTGGGAGGAGACATCTATAAGAAGGCCTGGGGAAAAGTATATCAGCAAAAGGAAACAGCAATCCAAGGGCATTGAGTGAAAAGGAGCATGGTGTACAGGTCCATCGGAGAGAGGAAATGACAATTTAGTTAGGGTAAACTGAACAAAGGGTTGAGAAGTAGGAGGTGAGATTGTAGATGTAAGCAGAGGCCAGACCATATAGGCTCTTGCAGGGTATGGCAAGACTACTGGCTATGTTCCAGTTACAGTGGGAGGCATGGACAGGGTTGGATTAAGCCAGGAAGAGATTTATGTTTTTAAAAAGCTGATTCTGAAATATTCCATGCTCATGGATTGGAAGAATAAACATTGTTAAAATGTCTATGCTACCCAGAGCAATCTATACCTTCAATGCCATCCTGATTAAAATTCCAATGACATTTTTCAAAGTGCTGGAACAAACAATCCTAAAATTTGTATGGAATCAGAAAAGACCCCAATCGCCAAGGAAATGTTGAAAAAGAAAAACAAAGCTGGGGGCATCACGTTGCCCGATTTCAAGCTATATTACAAAGCTGTGATCACCAAGACAGCATGGTACTGGCAAAAAAACAGACATATAGACCAGTGGAACAGAATAGAGAACCCAGATATGGACCCTCAACTCTATGGTCAAATAATCTTTGACAAAGCAGGGAAAAACATGTAATGGAAAAAAGACAGTCTCTTCAATAAATCGTGCTGGGAAAATTGGACAGCCACAGGCAGAAGAATGAAACTCAACCATTGTCTAACACCATTCACAAAGATAAACTCAAAGTGGATGAAAGACCTCTCAATGTGAGACAGGAATCCATCAAAATCCTAGAGGAGAACATAGGCAGTAACCTCTTTGACATCGCCCACAGCAACTTCTTTCAAGATAAATCTCCAAAAGCTAGTGAAACAAAAGCAAAAATGAACTTTTGGGACTTCATCAAGATAAAAAGCTTCTGCACAGCAAAGGAAACAGTCAACAAAACAAAGAGGCAACCCACAGAATGGGAGAAGATATTTGCAAATGACACTACAGATAAAGGGCTGGTATCCAAAATCTATAAAGAACTTCTCAAACTCAACACCCAAAAAACAAATAATCAAGTCAAAAAGTGGGCAGAAGATATGAAAAGACACTTCTCTGAAGAAGACATACCAATGGCTAACAGACACATGAAAAAATGTTCATCATCATTAACCATCAGGGAAATTCAAATCAAAACCACATTGAGATACCACCTTACACCAGTTAGAATGGCAAAAATGGACAGGGAAAGAAACAACAAATGTTGGAGAGGTTGTGGAGAAAGGGGAACCCTCTTACACTGTTGGTGGGAATGCAAGTTGGTACAGCCACTTTGGAAAACAGTGTGGAGGTGCCTCAAAAATTTAAAAATAGAGCTACCCTATGACCCAGGAATTGCACTCCTGGGTATTTACCCCAAAGACACAGATGTAGTGAAAAGAAGGGCCATATGCACCCCAGTGTTCATAGCAGCAATGTCCGCAATAGCCAAACTGTGGAAAGAGCCGAGATGCCCTTCAACAGATGAATGGATAAAGAAGATGTGGTCCGTATATACAATGGAATATTACTCAGCCATCAGAAAGGATGAATACCCAACTTTTACATCAACATGGATGGGACTGGAGGAGATTATGCTAAGTGAAATAAGTCAAGCAGAGAAAGTCAATTATCATATGGTTTCACTTATTTGTGGAACATAAGGAATAGCATGGAGGACATTAGGAGAAGGAAGGGAAAAATGAGGGGGCCGGATTAGAGGGAGAGATGAACCATGAGAGACTATGGACTCTGAGAAACAAACAGGGTTTTAGAGGGGAGGGGGGAGGGGGGATTGGTTAGCCCGGTGATGGGTATTAAGGAGGGCACGTACTGCATGGAGCACTGGGTGTTATGTGAAAACAATGGATTGTGGATCACCACATCAAAAACTAATGATGTATGGTGACTAACATAACATAATAAAATTTAAAAAAATCAAAATAAAAAAATAAAAAGCTGATTCTGTCTTCTGGCTAAAAGGTGGAGTATAGAAGAAGAACAGTGAAAACAGGAGGCTTTTACAGTAGTCCAGATGTGTGATGATGGTGGCTTGGAGCAGGATAATAATCGTAATGATGGTGAAATGGAGGATTTCTTTCAGAATAATTTGTTCAGAATTTCCAGAATTTGTTCATAAATTGGATTTGGGGAGTGAGGTAAAGCAGGATAAGAACTTTTGGGTGTATGGTGGTGCCCTTTACTGAGACAGGAAAGACTGCAGGTAGAACATTTTTGAGGCAGTTGGCTTTGATTTTGGAAAGTTAAGTATGATAGACCTATGAAACAGTCCTGTGGAAATGTCTAAAAGGACAATTTGCTTGTCCTCTCTCACAATGCACAATCAAATTGTTGGCTAGGCTAGAGGTATGCACGAAAAAAGCCAGACACCCATGCCAGTCCCAGATGCCTCAGTCATCAGTTTGCAATTTTTTCTAAGAAGTTAATTCAGGGGCTTAAGGGACCATGGTGGGTATTCCTTGGATACCTATACTACATTCTAAGATGTGTCTGAATAGCTGTGGTTGGTAAAGGAAGTAGTTTCCCAGAACAGAGTTATATTTGGCCAAAAAACATTTCCAACTACATTTTCCACTTGGTATGTAGACAGAATATGGCATGGTATGAAGAAATAATACAATCTGGTTTGAAAATGTTTCTTAGGCATAGACATACTAAGGAGAAAAGGGTTTATTTTTCTTCTCCTTCAGATTCTGGTTCATAAATTTATAGTTCTTAGAATTGGGAGGATCTTAAAGAACAGGGGATTTAGCCCCCAATCTCAGACACATAAAGTATTAAGGCAGTCAATTCCTAGAAGAAGCATTATTATTCACTCTGTTACTAACACTACTAAATTCAGTAATGATTTATTAATCATTATTCTATTTTTGTAAAAGAGCTTTCTGCCTTTGACAATTAGGCCTTTTCTTCAACCTTCTTACTTTATACATTCAGGTCTTCAAAACTTATTTTCAGCTAAAAAATTAAGTGTAAATAAAATAAATTCAATAGAGATAAAACATTAAAATAATTTATAATCACTAGGATGCTTCCTCATATGCAAAGTGTGCTTTGGGGGTAAAAACCTGCCCTAGGTTAGGTTAATCTCCCTGCCCTAGTGTTTAAATATCTCCCCTGGGATATCATTTTGCTTTTCTTTATTTTTAAAGATTTTATTTATTTATTTATTTATTTGAGAGACAGAGAGAGGGAGTGCACGTGCATGTGCGAGTGCGGGGAGGGACAGAGGGAGAAGGAGAGAGAATCCCAAGCAGACTACATGCTGTGCCCGGAGCCCAATGCAGGACTCGATCTCATGACCCTGAGATCATGGCCTGAGCAGAAATCAAGAGTTAGATGCCTAACTGACTGAGCCACCCAGGCACCCCTATCATTTTGCTTTTCTAACACAAAGCTGTTAATTTCTGGCCTATCCCATCTATATAAGAAAGACTAGAATTAAAATCGTTTTTGATGTTGCTTTATGCCAGGCCCTTTCAGCTTATCAGATTCTTTTATAATGGCCACCTCATTATATAGACTCATGCCTATAACTGTTGTCTTACCGGTTGATAGGTCTGTTACCTTTTTGGAAGTTCCCCTGAGCTAAGTTCATCTATACTGTGTTCTCCCTTAAGCTATAAATACCCTCCACCCCCACGTCTATTCCCAAGGTCACCTCTCCTAACCTTAAAGCAGAAATAACTGTGATACATTGAAACAAAGGAACCAAGGAAGTAGAATTTTTGAAAGCCAAGGAAGTAGTCCCATCCTATAACAAAACTGAAAAATAATCACCATTGTCTACATTCAGACCAATACCACAAACTAAAAATGGGAAGGGCATTAATTTCAATAACAATTTGCTGACAGAGTCTACCGTTTCTTGTCATGAGCTATCTGTCCCATTTCTACATCAAAGGCCTGAAGGTTTTGTTTGCTGGGCCTTTCAAGGTAACATTAGAGCTGTGTTCTGTACAAAAACTAGCTCAACTCAGCTTGTGTTCTCTGAAAGTTAGCTCAACTCAGGTCAATTATTTCTTGCACTTGTACAAGATAACCTGATTCTCATAACTAGGCTTGTTTATTGAGAGACTTTGGAGAATCTCCCTTCTCAGCATCACTATTGCAAAACAAAGGTTGGAGGTACAGACTGTACATTACTTTTGCCTTAATTCCTT